GATGCCTGAAACACAAAATTTGTTTTGAACCTACAAATTCACTCCAGAAAATGCGAAATTTTCGCTTGGCCGATAGAAAAACAAGTTCAGTCGACTAATGATTTACAATTGGTATTTGCTAGGTGGGTGTGACCTGAAGCATTCGATTAGATGAATCTTTTGTTTTCAGGTAGAAGTTGGGGTGCTATTTATAGTGGTCCAAGCTTGGGCAGGGAGAACTACTGATGCAAATAGACTGAATGGGAGGATTATGGGCAAAGATTTGAATATGTCATGGGATGTTTTCCGGACTTATGACGTCATAACAAGCTTGCATATTACGGAAAAAGGTGGCTAGTTGCATCATTCAAACGAACGAAGATGAAGCGAAGCTTAGCATCATCATAATCATCACTGACAGCAACATCAGATAAGAACACTGGTGCTTCATTTCCGTACAACATTTCCTGCACTCCCTCACTGTTGCGACTCCTGAAAACGAGCAATTTCCCGACCCGATCCCAGTTATACGTATGATGCTCAGTACTCATGAGTATCTGTTACCGTACTATGAAACTTCATCAAACAAGAGATATTATAATACTCGTTATTATTTAGGGCTCCTATGCGGAACACAAGAATCCCCCCTCTGACGTAAAGTTACTTACTCTTCACGTACACCGGTAATCTACCTTAAACATTTTCGGGCAGAGTATGCAAAACCGTTTGGTGGGTAGATGCAAACTGCTGATTATAGAGAGAAAACTTTATAATTGATTGCCAAGAATTGCTTCTAGTAACTTAACACTTCATACCATTTTGATGTAGTTGAACCTCAAAAAGGTGAGACTGTAATGTGAACAAATACCACTGTTTACTAAACGTTAACATGTGACTTTACGCGTCCAACTCATACAAACTGTTCACGTCAATGACGTAAAAACATTTCTACTGAAATCCTCAACTATTAACAAGTGATTGAAAGTTGTCTGCCAGAATGAAAGTAGACTGGGACAATCTGACATCTCATTCATGATTAGGAACGACCAAGAGGCCTTGGATGCAGCGTACATACCAATCAAGTTGTAGGCGTTCGAAAATACCATATCAGCGAATCGGTATTTAGCAGACCATAAGCCTATTGATGTTGGTCCCTGCTGATTCGTTCCATAGCTCGAAAATCTGTCTGTAAGTCTATAAACACCATCCTTATTGTCTTTTCTTGGCCCCATTGATAGCCCCATTCTGAACTATAGATTAAGGCGACCGTTTGCCACAACCTTGCTTTTCGTTATCTGGATGAAGTACATGTAAGCACGAACAGTGGACACTTAACCTTCATTTCTACCTTGATCGTCTCATTTTTTTCGGTTAGTGGTCAATGCGTGCATCTTCCTCGGCGCATTCATGGGAATAGTCTTTTCAGGATTTCTCAATACGCTGTATGTCTTTGAAATCCACAACCAGAATTCACCATATGCGACACACTTGCCCCGAATTATGCGCCGGTAATGGAAATTTACCGGTCCTGTTCAAACTCAGGGCTCCAACTCAAAAAATGATGTGCGATGCAACGCGCCAGAGAAAACCGCTGATTTCACTGTTACTCATGGGCAATTGATTCAACTCATTAGGGAGCTGCCAGGGGGAAGCGTTGTCGGCCGTTCTCAAAATCACCCTGTTCTGTTGTAGTATCTACCCAGCAGCGGAATCTGTGACAAACTCAATCTTTCACTACCGTTGTCATACCGTAAACCAGTTGCCTTAGCTACCGACCACCGTGTTGTTCCGCCTAACTTGACCTTACGTTGTTATATTCTAAAGGGCTTAATCGATTTTATTGCCGCATGCACTTGTTTCCCTTCGCACATGTGTCTGTTGTCTTTAGTGTTCTGGCTTCGTTTACCACCGACGAACTGTCCTGATAGGTTCGAATGCTTTCAGTTCATGTCTGTGGAGCTCTTCTCGATTGTTTATAGTATGTCCACAGATGATTTGATCTCCTAAAACGGTGCCAGCAGCAGTACACCGCCATCACAGCTTATCTCAAACGCAACCAAACGATAAGGCACGATTTCGTGAGAACGGTTCGATCCCACCCCAAGCCAATAGTGTAACGGATTCGACCTAAATTCCGTCTCATGGTTTCTTCCAATCTTCATTCATGTCCCGATACTCAAAGAATGCATGTCGAGTGCAGGTTGTACTAGTCTCTCTGCTGTTCCTCGTGTTTCAGATGGTGAAACATCTAAAGGTGAGGGATTACTAGAGTTGCGTGGTATGTTGTTGTTGGTACTTATGAATTGACCTCCAAAACGCATATTTCGGCCATTGGCATTCTCCCGGGCGTAGGGTTTTCGTGATTCGGCATATTATTCATGCATTCTCGCCAAATGTTAGGTGGCTGTATTTCTGCCTTGTACTCGGAACGAAGCATATCATATATGGAAAGTAGCTGGTATTCTGTCCACAGGTAATCTAGTAAGCTGTCTGTGATAGGTTTCTTACAAGTTGGCATTCCAGGGTCGTGGGATTCATTTCAGCTCTTACCTTTCGGTTTCAGCTTCCGATTTATGAACTCACTTTTCGTCAGTTCTTCGGTCTGCACAGTTTAGTTCATTGAGCTAGTGAGAAGCAAACCGTTTGAAAGATCTGGGATTATGGTGAATTTCGCATCAACCATCTGTTTTATCGTTTCATTGGAATCCCGTCACGAAGAGACTGGACCTTACCGTGGTGTGACGGTTTGCGCACCTCAGCGATCCATTGAGCTATACTGGAGAGTGTCCCGCGACACTCACAGAGTCTCTCACACCAGGTT